CACTGTCTCAAAAAAAAAAAAAAAAAAAAAATTAGCCAGGAATGGTGGTATGCACCTGTAGTCTCAGGTACGTGGGAGGCTGAGACAGGAGGATCACCTGAGCCCAGGAGATTGAGGCTGCAGTGAGCAATGATCACACCACTGCACTGAAGCCTAGGCAACAGAGTGAGACCCTATCTTGAAAAAAAAAAAAAATTCAACAAAGAAATGCCCAGGACTGGATGGCTTCATAGGATAATTCTACCAAACATTCAAAGAACACTAGCGCTTCTTAAACTCTTCCAAAAATTAAAAAAGAGAATGCACTCCCAAACTCATTTTGTAAAGTCAGCATCACCCTGATTCCAAAGCTAAAGATAACATAAGAAAATTACCAGGCAATATCCCTGATGAACATAAATGCAAAAATCCTTAATAAAACACTAGCAAACCAAATTCAACAGCACATTAAAATGATTATACATGATACAGTGGGATTTATCCACAGGATACAAGGTCAGTTAACATATGAAAATCAGCCAATGTGATAAATCACAATAAGAGGAATGAAACACAAAAAACAGATGATCACATCAACAGACCTAGAAAAAGCATTTGACAAAAGTCAACATCCTTTCATGATAAAGACTCAACAAAACAAGTATGGAAGAAACTTACTTCAATGCAATAAAGGTAAATTATGACAGGCCCACAACTAACATCATGCTCAATGGTCAAAGACTGAAAGCTTTTCCTCTAAGACCCAGAACAAGGAAAGGATGCTCACTCTAATCACTGTTAATCAACATAGTACTGGAAGTCATAGCCAGGGCAATCAGGCAAGAAAGAGAGAGGCTTCCAAGTCAGAAAGAAAAAAGTAAGATTATTTTTGCCTGCCATGATCACATACGTAGAAAACTCAAAAGACTACACACGCACTCTCTCACACACACACACACACACACTGTCTCTCTCCCCGCCTCACCCACCTCCCCCCAAAACTGGTAGAACTAATAAATGAATTCAGTAAAGTTTCAGGACACAGAATCAACATAAAACTCCATAGCATCTCTATACACCAAAAATGAACTATCAGAAAGGGAAATTAAGAATGCAATCTCATTTACTTTAGCAACAAAAATTTTAAAATACTTAGGAATTTATGGGACTCAGCAAAATAAATGACACAAATAAATGGAATAAAAACACAAGTAAGTGGAAAGATATCTCATGTTCACAGACTGGAAGAATTAATATTGTCAAAGTGTCCATACTACCTAAAGCAATCTACAGATTCAATGCAATCGCTATCAAAATCCCAATTGCACTTTTTTTTTTTTTTTTTTTGAGACGGAGTCTCGCTCTGTCACCCAGGCTGGAGTGCAGTGGCCGGATCTCAGCTCACTGCAAGCTCCGCCTCCCGGGTTCATGCCATTCTCCGGCCTCAGCCTCCCGAGTAGCTGGGACTACAGGCGCCTGCCACCTCGCCCGGCTAAGTTTTTGTATTTTTAGTAGAGACGGGGTTTCACTGTGTTAGCCAGGATGGTCTCGATCTCCTGACCTCGTGATCCACCCGTCTCGGCCTCCCAAAGTGCTGGGATTACAGGCTTGAGCCACCGTGCCCGGCCCCAATTGCACTTTTTACAAAAATCCTAAATTCATATGGAACTACAAAAAACCCTGAATAGCCAAAGAAATTTTGAACAAGAACAAAAAGCTGGAGACATCACACTTCCTGACTTCGAATTATCTATCTTACAAAGCTATCACCAAAATAGTATGGTGCTGGCATAAAAACAGACACAGACAAAATGGAACAGAACAGAGAACCCAGAAAGAAACTCACATATTAATGAACAACTTACTTTGACAAAGGTGCTAAGAACACACAATCGGGAAAGGATAATCTGTTCAATAAACAGTACTGGAAAACCTGGATATCTACACGCACACACACAAAAAAGAAATCTGACCCCTATCTCACACCACACAACAATCAACTCAAAATAGATGAAAGTCTTAAATGTAAAACTTGAAACTGCAAAATTCCTGGAAGAAAACATTGGGAAAACCTTCCTGACATTGGTCTTACAATAATTTTCTCAATATGACACCAAAAGCACAGACAATGAAAGAAAAAATAGACAAGTGGGATTACATCAAACTAAAAAGCTTCTGCAGAGCAGAAGAAATAATCCAAAAAATGAAAAGGTAACCTACAGAATGGGAAAATAATGTTTGGAAACTATATATCTGATAAGGGATTAATATCCAAAATATATAAGGAACTCATACAACTCAATGCTAAAAATACAAATAACTGGATTTAAAAATGGGCAAAGAACCAAAATAGATATTTCTCAAAAAAGGAAATTCAGATGGCCAATAAGCATATTAAAATGTGTTCAACATTTGTAGTCATCAGGTAAATGCAGATCAAAACCATAATGAGATATCACTTCACACCTTTCAGGCTATTATCAGAAAGATAAAATATAACAAATGTTGTCAAGGATGTGGAGAAAAGAGAACCCTTGTACACTGCTGTTAGGAATATAAATTCAAACAGCCATCATGGAAAAAGTAGGACAGTTCCCAAAAAATTAAAACTAGAATATATGGCCGGACATGGTGGCTCATGCCTGTAATCCCAGCACTTTGGGAGGCCGAGGCGGGCGGATGACGAGGTCAAGAGATCTAGACCATCCTGGCTAACATGGTGAAACCCCATCTCTACTAAAAAAAAAATTACCTGGGTGTGGTGGCGGGCACCTGTGGTCCCAGCTACTCTGGAGGCTGAGGCAGGAGAATGGCGTGAACCCAGGAGGCGGAGTTTGCAGTGAACTGAGATCACGCCACCGCACTCCAGCCTGGTCAACAAAGCGAGACTCGGTCTCAAAAAAAAAAAATAAAAATAAATAGAACATATGATCAAACAATCCTACAGGATAGTAAAGGGATATCTGTATTCCCATGTTCACTGTAGCATTTTGCACAATAGTCAAGACATGGAAACAACCTAAATGTCCTTCAATGGATGAACTGATAACGAAAATATGAGTATACACACATACAAAATGGAATATTATTCAGCCTTTAAAAAAGAAAATCCTGCCATTTGTAACAAAATGGATGAAGCTGGAGGAAGTCAAAATAGGCAAGACACAGAAAGAGAAATACTGCATGATCTCCCTTTTATGTCAAATCTAAAATAGTCAAACTATAAAAACAGAAAGTAGGATTGTGGATGCCAGGGGCTGGGAAGAGGGGGAAATGGAGGATGTTGGTCAAAGGGTATAAAAATGGTAACTATATACAGGTAATAGATATGTTAATTAGTTGGAATGTGATGGTCATTTCACAATGTTTCACAAAAATTCAGTTGTAAACCTTAAATATATATAATTTTTATATGTCATAAAAATTAAATTATCACAAAACAATTTAAAAGACAAAAAAGTGATTCACCAACTGTGCTTAATAGCTACATATTAATGATGGCAGCAGCAGGCCATCTGGAGCAGCTGCTGCCATCACGCTGGCTGCAACAACTAGGCATGGCCAGGGCTGCATGCTCCATGGAGAAGGCAAAAGCCAGGGATAAGCAGGAGACCCGCCCCTTCCAAGTTGAGGCAGGAGCTCCCTGGATGCTGCTGCAGCCGCCCAAGCCATGGCTGCAGACCCTGGCATCCCTGCATTGTTGGGGGCCCAGGAAGGCCTCCCTTGCCTTTGCAGGCATGGAAATGCCTGTTCCTACTGCCTAGCTTCTTCCTGCCTTCTCTGATCACAGAGCAAAGTTGGGCAGTGCTGACTCACCAGCCCCCTACCTCCTCAGCCCCCTCCAGATTTTGGGCACCAATGAGCATAGAAGGAAACCAAGGGGAGCTGAGAGCAGCTTGGCTTGGCACCTATAGCCTGGGTACCATGAATGGCAGGAGGCAGACAGATTCCTGAGTAGAAGGGGATGGGTCCCTGGTGAGGTCCCACCTGCAGGCCAGGGAGGGCTTGAAAGCTGAGGGTCAGGATGCCAGTCCCACGGACTGGAGTGAGAACTTGTGGTGCCTTTTCTGGGCCTGCCCATGGCCACGTATGGACCAATCGATATGCATTTCTTCCCCTCTGAGGCCCATAAAAGCCCTGGGCTCAGCCAGAGCTAAGCAGATGTTGGGACAACCAGCTGCAGGGAGGAGCTACCCACTCCAGGACCTCCTCTCTGCTGAGAGCAGCAGACATCAGGACAACTAGCTGCAGTGAAGACCTACCCACTCCAGGGCCTCCTCTCTGCTGAGAGCTGCAGAGATGACAGGAAGACCTGCCTGCAGATAGGAGCTACCCACTCCAAGGCCTCCTCTGAGCTATTGTCGCTCAATAGCTGCTCTTTGTCTTGCTCACCACACTTGTCTGTGTACCTCATTCTCATTGCTCACCCTCTACTTGTCTGTGTACCTCATTCAATAACTCTGGACCCACCAAATGAGGCTAAAAGACCTGCAACACAAACAGGGCTGAGACATGCCCCTTGCTCACCATGTTGTGGACAAAGAGAAGAAAAAAAGAGCTGCGACCCGTTGGGAAGCCCAGATCTGGGAGCTCTCTGAGCCAGGGCTGTGACTCCCTCTTTGGGGCCCTACGGTTCCTGGCATCTCCAAGTTTCTGGGCGCCACCTTTTCGCTGGTGCCAGCTGTGGAAGCTGCTTGGAGTGTGACTGGTCCAGCTGCAGCCTGGCAGAGAACTGGCACCCATGCTGGTAACTGAAGCTGACCACCCCCTGCAGCAGCTGGCACGTCTGACTGAACAACAGCCAGACCCCACACTTCCCCACACGCCCCTTGTCACTCCACGCAATCTCCCTTGGCAGGCATGGGATCCAGGCCAGTTGCATGAGCCAAGTGCAGCCTTCCAGGCCAGGTGGGTGGAATGAACCCAGTGGGCCCAAGCAAAACTTGGGCAGAGGTGCCACTTGGCCACAGAGGTTTCTGGCCAGAAAAGTGACACCCCAAAGATACCATAACATTAATAACTCAATTAATACCCTGTTTTATTATTTATAATAAATTCCAATTACTAAAAATTACACAAGTTTCTTATGTTGGCTACTAAATCACACATCTAAACTAATCAAACTGCTGATCACATCTGTATAGACCCTTTCCCTTTGACAGAACCCCTTCTTTCTAATCCATTTTGGAAGCTTCAAAAAAAGTTTATTCTCTAGCAGTCCATGGTTGTCTGCCCCACCCTCTTCAGGCTCCAGAAGACTCTCAAGGCAAAGGCCAGGAAGAATACCATATGTTTCATTTCCTACCTGACAGTGAGGTAATCTGTATAACAGAAAAATTTTTTACATTATTAATTTGAATTGGGCTTCTACATTTTATACATATACATACATGATTTTCAAGCAAGCAACCAAGTGCTGGGCAAGGAAAGCCAAGTTAACATGAAGGCAAAGGCTTTCTATTACCTTTTGTGTAAACCCAAATCCTGAGATTTGGATTAGGGTAGATGCTTAAGAGATGGAGGTGATGCAGACCAACAGCACAGCTGAGAGGGCAGAATCTGGAAGTTTAAGGAAGGAATTGTGAGATTCGCAAGGATAAGGAGGGCTTTGGGGTCCTACTCCCCAGCTCTAAGGAGCAATATGGTACACAGAGTTGGATCTCTGACACCCTGGTTCTAAGCCCCACCATTCTGGGGTCCCAAGGAAACAAGCTTTTAGACTTGATGGAACTGCCAGGACTGGATAGTGGCTGTTTCAGAAGCAGCCTGATGACCAAAAGAACCTTCTCAGCATCTTGGTGCCAAATGAAATCTGGATACCTTTGCATAATCTTAGGATTTGTGAGAAGCCCACCAACAAGGCAGATGGTGGTGGGGATCTTGGTAACAGAAATAAATTTACAGAAAACAAAGACATGCAATATTTCTTGAACATATTAATCTATGGATTGAAAAATTGGCCAGGCAGCTGGGCGCGGTGGCTCACGCCTGTAATCCCAGCACTTTGGGAGGCCGAGGCGGGCGGATCACAAGGTCAGGAGATCGAGACCACGGTGAAACCCCGTCTCTACTAAAAAAAATACAAAAAATTAGCCGGGCATGGTTGCGGGCGCCTGTAGTCCCAGCTACTCGGGAGGCTGAGCCAGGAGAATGGCGGGAACCTGGGAGGCGGAGCTTGCAGTGAGCCGAGATGGCACCACTGCACTCCAGCCTGGGTGACAGAGCGAGACTCCGTCTCAAAAAAAAAAAAAAAAAAAGAAAGAAAAAGAAAAATCGGCCAGGCACAGGCCGATGCCTGCAATCCCAGCACTTTGGGAGGCCGAGGCGGGTGGATCACTTGAGGTCAGGAGTTCGAGACCAGCCCGGCCAACATAGTGAAACCCTGTCTTCACTAAAAACACAAAAATTAGCCGAGCATGGTGGCAGGCACCTGTCATCCCAGCTATTCAGGAGGCTGAAGTAGGAGAATCACTTGAACCTGCAGGCCAAAGGTTGCAGTGAGCCAAGATCATGCCACTGCACTCCAGCCTGGGGGACAGAGCCAGACTATCTCAAAAAAAAAAAAAAAAAAAAAAAAAACCAAAAAGAGAAAAATCACACCAGCTAGATTTCCTCCTGATATCTCAGGGTAGCTGAGCCAGGAAGGTTCTGCTCCAGCAGGCTGGGGAGCATCCACTTACCCATGAAAAGGATTATTTGGAGGTTCATTTTAGGGGCCAATACCAGATAGTCCAGGACTAAAAGGTCTTCTTATTTTTATCCCTTTATATTTCTAATAGGAAATGAAAGAGTAGACAACAGAGTCTAGTTTCTGTATTGCAGCTGGGGAAGAGACAGGGAGAGCGGAATCCACCAGCACAGTGAGTGAGTCAGAAAGAAAGTATTCAAAATGTCAGTGAGGAGCTGAGGAACTCACCACATGAGTGCTTTGAGCATGCAAAAGGCTCAGCTGAATTCTGACTAGATTTGTCCTAAGCAAAGCAAAAACCAGGGTCCTTTGAATATACGGGACACAAAGCTCTTCTTATAGAACAAATTTGACTGAGTCTTTGGGGAAACAACTGCATCAGACAGTGGGAGCTAACTAACAGTGGGTGTGCCACACAGCACCACGTGGCTCCAACCTGTGGCTCCAACCTGTGGCTCCATTTGCTTCTATCCTTACAGTCACAGCCTTTGGTTGTATTGGGGCAGTTTGGTGGACCAGGTAAACAGGTACCCTTTGCACAGGAGAACACCTTTAAGAAACTCGCACCTGCTACGCTTTTCAGGTAACTGGACCTCACCTCAAATCTACCTAGTACAAGTATAACTAAAATTAAGAGCAGAAGAGAAGTCTAGTTTGTATTCTTTTAGAATTCTAATCCCCAAATATTTGCCAGATATCAGTTACTCAGAAAACTTTCTGATATAAAAAAGGCCTCACCCATTTACCCTGTTCCCAACTTACCGTCACATTCCAGCAGACACTGAAAAGCTGAACAAGGGAAACCTTATCCCTGCTCGAGTTGGTTGAGTTTCTCCTCTCTTCCTCTCCTTGTCACTGTTGCCCACATACTGTAGTTTGGAAGTAAGAAAAGAAGAAACTCTTAAAAATATCTCGTTATTTTCCTCTAAAAATTTTAGGGATAAAAGCACCAGATCCTATGACCCATGTCTGAGATCCAATATTGCCTGGATTCCCTGTTTGGAAACTTTAGAGAGGTTTACAATCACACTTTCCCTTTTCACTTCTTCCCTTCATGCCAGTTGCCTGGGCAAAGTGGCTGTCCTTGTGTTTTGACATTCCAGCTTCCTAGACCCGTAACTCTATCCCAGTAATTTCTGAGAGAAGCAGCAGCTACTTTCTATATATTATATCTTCAAGATGTCCCGCCCTGCTTTCTGTAAATTGGACATAAAGCTCTTTTTTTTTTAGAATGGAAGGAAGAATCATCTTTTGACTTGTCTTCATTTTTGGAAAGAGCTTTAAGGTCTAGCATACTTCTGATACCTGAAGTCCGTTCTAATTATAATATCCCATAATTCCAGAAAATGTTTCTCAAAGTTTGTTCCACTGAACAAAATATTTACTGAATATTCCAAAATCAAATAATTTTGAAAAAACTGTAAATTTTGAAAACCTCCCCTTCTTGGAGATTATGTCCATTAGTATAGTCAAGGCTCTAAGAAATTGTAAAGATACCAGTTTTCTTGTCTTTTTCAATTATATTTAACCCAGTTACTCCATTTCACATAAAACCCATTAATATCTACCTGACTTCCTTAAGAAAGGCTGTCCTTGAAAACATGGGTGCATCTGGTTTCCTAATTTTCACAACGCAGATCAATCAATGACTCTAAGCTGTGTTAAGGAAAGCATTTAAAACTTTTACAAAGCTCCATATACAAAGAAGTTAATCACGAAGTTGTAATAACAAAAACCTGGAAACAAATACCTTAAAAGAGGGATTGAGAAAATACATTATGGTGTGATTGTGTCACAGAATATTATGTGGTCACTAACAATATTTACAAGCATTTCTTAAAAACCTATGAAAATGTAAAATATCTGGTGAAACACTATATAGCATGATTTAAACTACATATAAGAAATATGCATACAGGTGCAGTGGCTCATGCCTGTAATCCCAGCACTTCAGGAGACTGAGATGGGCAGATCATTTGAGGCCAGGAGTTCAACACAAGCCTGGCCAACATGGCCAGACCCCATCTCTACTAAAAATAAAAAAAATTAGCAGGGCATGGTGTTACCTGCCTGTAATCCCAGCTACTCAGGAGGCTGAGGCACGAGAATTGCCTGTACCTGGGAGGTGGAAGTTGCAGCGAGCCAAGATTGTGCCACTGCACTCCAGCCTGGGTGACAGAGCAAGACTGTCTCAAAAAAAAAAAAAAAAAAAAAGCATAGAAAATATATTGATTTAAACGTCATCTGGGTCAACTGCGCACAACACCTGGCTTTTTTTTTTTTTTTTTTTTTTTCCTCTCCCTGCTAGAGACAGGGTCTTGCCATACTGCCCAAGCTGGTCTTGAACTGGCCTCAAGTGATTCTCCCATCTTATCCTCCCAAAGTGCTGGGATTACAGGCATGTGCCACCACACCTGGCTGCTAATATATTTTTAAGGCCTCCCTTTTAAGTGGCTTGATGAGCCTACAATAAGATAAGGAAAGGCCAATGAAATTAGGAACTTTGCCTACCTTGCCAGTGTGGGAGAATGGTGAGTTCTGAAGGGGCTAAAAACCTTGAAACAGTCTAGAATAGTGGTCCTCAGCAGGGATGGTACTGCCCCTCAGGGAGCAATTAGGAAATAAGTGGGAGCATTTTTGGTTATCACAGTTAGAGGCCATTATTGGCATTTAATAGGTGAGGAGTCGAAGATCAGAGACATCCTGAAAGGTACAGGGCAGTACCTTAATTGTCCTATGTCTCCTGACTTTCAAATGGCTCTCCAGCCAGTGATGTAGGTGAAGCACGTTTATAATCATTTGAGCCTAGAGCCTAACTCTGTTTTATATTACTTTAATATATACAGAAATTTTCAGGAATTCCACCACTGTGTAAATCAAGGGAAGACTAAACTTTGTTTTATTTGGAAAATTTTCAAAGGTTGTTCACCATTTTGGAGAACAATATTGCCAATAGCAATGGTATTCAAGTCACCAAAGCAACATATTCATATCAGTTAGCATTTCTAGACTTTATACCTATGGTGACTATGTATATGGGAGTGAACCCTTGATTACTTCAGTATGTCTTCTAGTGTGGTAGAATCTGAGCATTTATGTATTAAAACACTTAAAATTTTACTACAAACTCCTTTTATTTCCTCTATCACATTTATGGCATATTAATTTTGGTTGAAATGGTGTGGAATCATATGCAATTATCTACAAACTTCATTGAAGTGGAGACATTACAAAATATTTGTTATAATCATACAAATATAAACGTTTATTATAAAATGTAAATATTTGTTACAAAATGGGGCATTCAGTCTGATGAGGCTGAAAATCACTATAGTATATGCTCCCTACAACTTGCTTTTCTCCTTAACAAGTCTTAGAAATTTCTTTTTTTTTTTTTTTTTTTTTTTTGAGACGGAGTCTTGCTCTGTAGCCCGGGCTGGAGTGCAGTGGCCGGATCTCAGCTCACTGCAAGCTCCGCCTCCCGGGTTTACGCCATTCTCCTGCCTCAGCCTCCGGAGTAGCTGGGACTACAGGCGCCCGCCACCTCACCCGGCTAGTTTTTTGTATTTTTAGTAGAGACGGGGTTTCACGGTGTTAGCCAGGATGGTCTTGATCTCCTGACCTCGTGATCCGCCCGTCTCGGCCTCCCAAAGTGCTGGGATTACAGGCTTGAGCCACCACGCCCGGCCCAAGTCTTAGAAATTTCTGCATACGTAGTATGGGCATACCATAATCTATTCATATATTTCCTATTAATGGACATACAGGTTATTTCTAATTTTGTGCTATTAGAAACAATGAATATAATGAAATCTTCCCACATGCACTTTTGTGCACACGTGCAAGTATTTCTCAGAGGTAGATTTTAAGATGTGAAAGTGCCAGATCAAGAGTTTTAATATCTGTAAATCTTTGGAGATAAAAATGTTTTCTCAAGTTGCATTTCCCTAACACTAGTCAAGCTGAACATCTTTTCAAACATTTTTTGGCCATGCTATTGTCTTGTTTGTTTGGCAATTCATATTTCTGTCATTTTGGGGAGAATTGATTTATAGTTATTCACATATTCTGACTATAATATATATGTTGGAAATCACTTTCTCCTATTCTGTTGCCTATCTTTTAACTTTTATCATAGAGAAGTTTTAAATTTTGATATAGTCAAATTTATGATTTTATTTGTTTTTGGCCTCCTCAAAAGGCTTTCTCTACCTCTAGACATAGTTTTCAACAGATGTATAATACTCCATTTTATGGATGTACCACAATTTATAATACTATTGAAAATTTAGCTTTTTCAAACAACTAAGTGTTCAACATGATGTTTTTGTTTTTTTTTTTTTTTTTTTTTTTGAGACGGAGTCTGGCTCTGTCGCCCAGGCTGGAGTGCAGTGGCCGGATCTCAGCTCACTGCACGGGGTTTCACCGCGTTGTTTTTAGCACGCATCTTAGTGCCTAGCAAACAGAACATAATAAATGTTTCTTGAATGAGAATGGGAAGACAGGAACCTTGAATGCGAGTGTGGAAAAAGTTATGCTTAAAAATGCAACCCAGGCCGGGCATGGTGGCTCAAGCCTGTAATCCCAGCACTTTGGGAGGCCGAGACAGGTGGATCACGAGGTCAGGAGAGCGAGACCATCCTGGCTAACCCGTTGAAAACCGGTCTCTACTAAAAAATACAAAAAACTAGCCAGGCGAGGTGGCGGGCGTCTGTAGTCCCAGCTACTCAGGAGGCTGAGGCAGGAGAATGGTGTAAACCCAGGAGGCAGAGCTTGCAGTGAGCTGAGATCCGGCCACTGCACTCCAGCCTGGGTGACAGAGCGAGACTCCGTCGCAAAAAAAAAAAAAAAAAAAAAAAAAAAAAAAAAAAGCCGGGCGCGGTGGCTCAAGCCTGTAATCCCAGCACTTTGGGAGGCCGAGGCGGGTGGATCACGAGGTCAGGAGATCGAGACTATCCTGGCTAACATGGTGAAACCCCGTCTCTACTAAAAATACAAAAAACTAGCCGGGCGTGGTGGTGGGCGCCTGTAGTCTCAGCTACTTGGGAGGCTGAGGCGGGAGAATGGCGTGAACCTGGGAGGCGGAGCTTGCAGTGAGCCGAGATCGTGCCACTGCACTCTAGCCTGGGAGACACAGCGAGACTCCGTCTCAAAAAAAAAAAAAAAAAAAAAGAAAATGCAACCCAATGTCAACCAAATTACTGGGGAATTAGCCCTACAACAGTACTCTTCCTTTAGCCAGCTACTCAAGAGTTGATTCTGCTTCTAAAATCTAGGCGCAGAAGTAAAGCTTCATCTTCCCCCATAAGATTGCCCTTCCAAAGAGTGGAACAACTACCTGCGAGAAGCCTGTGATCACATACCTGAGTCCTCCTCCTTATCCTGACTTCAATTTTAGGGTACCTCTTTGCTTGATGAGTCTTCAAGGTTTACATCTTAGAAGGTTAAGAATGGACCTAAGAAGAGGAGGCAGAGGGAAGAGAAGCCTCGTTTTCAGGAGCCTGGGCTGCTGCAGATTCATGAGGTCTGGCTCCAGATCCAGCAGGTGAGGCTCTGTATCCCGCAGGCAGGCCTTCATTTCCTGCAGGTGGGGCTTCATAGCCAAGAGGTGGAGCTCCATATCCTGCAGGTGAGGCTCTGTATCCCACAGGCGGGCCTTCATTTCCTGCAGGTTGGGCTCCACATCCTGCAGGTGGGGCCCCGTATCCGGGAGGTGGGGCTCCATACCCTGCAGGTGGGGCTCCATATCCGGGAGGTGGGGCTCCATATCCTGCAGGTGGGGCTCCATATCCTGCAGGTGGGGCTCCATAGGCAATAACTGGGAATTATAATGAGAAGGAAAAAAATTCAGTTACCTTGAAGTCAAGGAATATGTAAGAAGAAAGAACTTAAAAAATAATGCTGAAGCAAACTGACGCAAGAAGAGAAGTCAGGCAGAATAATGCTAAAGCGATTTCCTCCAGCTATCACCAATTGAAAGCATATCACTTCCTGTTGTGCAGGGATTCAAATCAACATGAAAACAACCCTATGAATAGATTGGTGCATTACTTATACTTGTGCACAGACATGTGTTTTACTTAATAAAGTTTGATGATGAAAAAAAGTAATACATGCTTAATGAGGACTATCCGTTTGGAAAATAGAGAAAAGAGGAGTGGAAAAAAGTCATCTATAATTCTACCACCAAACACTTAATATTTTGGTGTATTTCTTTGTAGAATCTCTGTGAATATTCTTTATATAATCATGATCATATCAGCCATATTATTTTTATTTTATTTTATTTTTTTTGAGACAGAGTCTCGCTCTGTCACCCAGGCTGGAGTGCAGTGGCGTGATCTTGGCTCACTGCAAGCTTCGCCTCCCAGGTTCACGCCATTTCTCCTGTCTCAGCCTCCCAAGTAGCTAGAACTACAGACGCCCGCCACCATGCCCAGCTAATTTTTTTTGTATTTTTAGTAGAGATGGGGTTTCACCATGTTAGCCAGGATGGTCTTGATCTCCTGACCTCGTGATCCGCCCACCTCGGCCTCCCAAAGTGCTGGGATTACAGGCCAGTCACATGATTTTTTAAATCTGGCTCTTTTACTTAATATTATAAGAAATGTCTTTATACTGTTAATTTACTTCATAAATTCAAAGCTGGATAATATTTCATCATATGGATAGATGATACTTTTTGTTGTTTCTGACTTTCCAATTAACCTTACAATAAACACGAGTTTTACTTACTACCTTGGGTTACATTCCCCAAAGTGATTTAACTGGATAAAGTGAATGGACAGCTGTAAAGTTATTTTGCTTTAATCCAAAATTTATTACAAAACTATTGTAATCAAGACAGTGTGTTACTGGCACGAGGACAGACTTAGAGACCGATGGAATAAATTAAGAGTCCAGAAATAAACCCAAGCATCTATGAACAGCTGATTTTTGACAGAATGCCAAGACCATTCAATGAGAAAAAAATAAGTCTCTTCAAAAAATGATTCTGGGACAACTGGATATCTGCATGTAAAAGAATGAGGTTCCTCCCTAACTTCACTCTACAGACAAAAACTAACTTGTAATGAATTAATGGCCTTAATATAAGACAGAGGTGGCCAATCTTTTGGCTTCCCTGGGCCACATTGATGGAAGAATTGTCTTGGGCCACATATAAAATATACTAGTACTAACGATAGCTGATGAGCTATTTTAAAAAATCTCGTAACGTTTTAAGCAAGTTTATGAATTTGTGTTGGGCTGCATTCAAAGCCATCCTGGGCCATGGGTTGGACAAACTTGATATAAGAGCTAAAACTATAAAATCCTTAGAAGAAAACAGGGATTAAATCTTCATGACATTGGATTTGGCAATGAATTCTTAAATTTTACATCAAAAGCATGAGCAACAAGAGAAAAAAAGAGAAATTTGATAAAAATTAAAAACCTTTGTGCATTAAAAGCCATTTTTGCCTGGGCACAGTGGTTCACACCTGTAACCCACTGGCCGAGGCAGGCAGATCATTTGAGCTCAGGAGTTCTAGATGAGCCTGAACAACATGGTGAAACTCCATCTCTACTAAAAATACAAAGATTAGCTGTGCATGGTGGCGCACACCTGCAGTCCCAGCTATTCAGGAGGCTGAGGCACAGGAATCACTTAAACCAGGGACGCAGAGGTTGCAGTGAGCCAAGATGGTGCCACTGCACTCCAACCTGGGTGACAGAGGAAGACTCTGTCTCAAAAAAAAAAAAAAAAAAAGGCATTATCAAGAATGTGAAAGAAAACCTAAAAATATTTGCAAATAATATATCTGACAAGGATTTCATATCCAGACTATATAAAGAATGCTTACAACTCAACAACAAAAAGACAAGCAATCTGATTTAAATTAAAAAATATATATATGCAAAAGACTTAAACAGACAGTTCTCCAATGAAGGTATACAAAAAGCCAAAAAGCACATAAAAAGATGTTCAACATAATTAGTCATTAAGGAAGTGCAAATTAAAACCACAATGAGATACCACTTCATACCCACTAGGACGGCTTATATATATATATATATATTTTTTTTTTTTTTTTTTTGAAAAAGGAAGGTAAGTGTTGCTGAGGATGTGTAGAAATAGGAACACTTACATTTACATAGGAATGTAAAATAGTGCAGCACTGGAAAATAGTTGGTGGTTCCTCAAAAAGTTAGAGAATTAACATATGACCCAGAAATTCCACTCCAAGATGTATATCCAGGAGAAATGAAAACATATGTTTACGTAGAAACTTATATACAAATGCTTATAGCAGCTATTATTCATAATAACCAAAAGGTAGAAACAAGACAAATGTCCATTAATGGACGAATGAATACACAAATTGTGGCATATATGTACAATGGAGTATTATTCAGCCACGAAAAGAAATGAAGTATTGCTACATGCTACAACTTGGAGGAACCTCAAAAACGTTATCCAGAGTGAGATAAGTCAAACACAAAAGATCATATATTGTATGATTTCTTTTATGTGATATATTCAGAATAGGTGAATCAATAAAGACAGAAAGCAGATTAGAGGATACCAGGAGATCAGGGAGGAGACAATGGGGGAGTAACTTCTTAGTGGGTATGGGGTGATAAAACGTTCTGAAACTGGACCAGGTGCTGTGGCCTACACCTGTGATCCCAGCACTTTGGGAAGCCAAGGCAGTAGACTTGCTTGAGCCCAGGAGTGTGAGACCAGCCTGAGCAACACAGTGAGACCTTGTCTCTACAAACAAAATTTTTTTAAAAGGCTGGCAGGGATGGCTCATGCCTGTAATCCCAGCACCTCAGGAGGCCAAAGTGAGTGGATGGCTTGAGCCCAGGAGTTCCAGACCAGCCTAGGCAACATAGGGAGATTCCCATCTCTACAAAAACACATAAAAAATTAGCTGAGCATGGTGGATTGTGCCTGTGGTCCTAGCCTACTCTGGCTGGGGGGCACTGAGGTAAGAGGATCGCTTGAGCCCAGGAGGTCGAGGCTGCAAGGGGACATGATAGTACCACTGCACTACAGCCTGGGTGACAAAGTGAGACCCTCTCAAAAAAAAAACCAAAAAAACAAAAAAAACACCACCTTTTGAAACTAGAGAGAGCTGATGGATGTATAATATTGTGAATACATCAAATACTGCTAAATTTTACACTAAATACCACTGAATTGTACACATTAACATGTTAATTATATGTTATGTGAATTTCACCTCAATTGAAAAAATGTTAAACCCTAGCAACACTTACTTTAGATTCTGAATATTAGATTGTAATAACCTTTAAAAACCAAGGTAACTATTAAGGTTATAAATAAGTAGCCTTTAAGTTACATACAAAACTAAAGGCCCATGGACATGCATATCAAGTTCCAAGGAGAACTCAAGAAAAGTCCCATATTTTTGGGGGGTTGGCAGCATTAGGAGACCCTTGGTGGCCCACCAGTAGGCAGTGGACCATGTTTGAGAGTTACTTCCCAGAAACCCCATTCAGTCACAGTGGACTTTAACAGCACAATTGTTAAAGGGCCCAGGGCTTGAGTCCTCAGTGAGGTTGAAGGGTGTGGCACAGGTATGATGACTGTGCTATGTGAAATGGAAACAAGGAAGTGGGCAAGAGCATATATTTTCTGCTCAGGCTATAAACAGGAAGTGACCCTTCCCACTAACAGGCGTTGCCCAAGTATGCTCCAGGTTTGTACATATCATTAAAAGTAAGCCTGAAACCAAAGCCCAGTCACTTGCTGACTTTGCCACTGGGTTTCAATCTGAAAACAAAGTCACAGACGTAACCATTTTCCAAGCCCCTAAACCTCTGCTGCTGCTCCTGCAGGAGAGCTGGAGGCAAGCCTGCAATAGACAGATCTTTGAGCCTCCGGCATAATTTTCCACCTTCCAGGAAGAACCTCTCTGCCATACCTTACCTGAACAAGGCATCTGCGGAGTGCATATATTCCCTTCCCCAGTAATTACATAAATTCTCATAGAGCTGAACCAGTCATTTAAGGTTCTAAGTGGAAATCCTCGGGCAGCTGGAAAGACAAATTTGGCAAAATAGGAACTCTTTTAATTAAGTCAGAAGTATAGCAGATACCAACTGAACAATAACAGAGTATTTAATCACCACCTTACATGTGTTTCCAACAATGTTCTTGAGATACAAGATAAAAAAGAAACATGGGCTGAGTGCAGGGACTCACACCTGTAATCCCAACACTTCAGGAGGCCAAGATGGGCGGATTGCTTGACCCCAGGAGTTCAAGACCAGCCTGGGAAACATGGCAAGACCCTATCTCTACAAAAATTTATTTAAAAATTAGCCAGGCGTGGTGGTACATACCTGTCATCCCAGCTACTCACGAAGCTGAGGCAGGAGGATTGCTTGAGCCTGGAAGTTTGAGGCTGCAGTGAGCCTTATTTGTGCCACTGCACTGGAGCCTCCAGCCTGTGCGACAGAGTAAGACCTTGTCTCAAAAAAAAAAAAAAAAAAAAAGAACTATGACCCTTGTCCTGAATGGCATGCTTCTTAAGAGCAGAGATTGTGTCTCATTTGCCTGTGCTTATTCCAGGCCTAGCATAGCACCTAATCATAATAGATACTCAGAAAAAACTTCTAAGGATTCTACCAAGTTGGTAAGATATATCCATTAAAGACCAATGTAAGGCAGTGTGGTACAGAACACTTTTGTCTTGTCTCCCCTCTGCATCTCTCTCATAAGAACACTTGTGACGGCATTTAGGGGCCACCTAAATAATCTACAGAAATCTTGTCATCTCAAGATCCTTAAATTAATTACATCTACAAACACCCTTTTTACAAACAAGGTAACATTCACAGGTTCTGAGGATTGGGATGGGGATATATCTGTGGATCCATTAGCAGCCTACCACACTGAGTTCTGCCTATGGCATGTAACCAGACGTAACGTACAGTTTCCAGACCTGGCCCATAAAAATTTCCCAGGGGAGATCTTTATTCCCTTCTTTGTTGGCCGTACAAAGAGGCCATGGGAGCCATGGGTTAAAGATCGCAAGGACCGGCCGGGCGCGGTGGCTCAAGCCTGTAATCCCAGCACTTTGGGAGGCCAAGAAGGGCGGATCACGAGGTCAGGAGATCGAGACCATCCTGGCTAACACAGTGAAACCCCGTCTCTACTAAAAAAAAAAAAAAAAAAAACAAAAAACTAGCCGGGCGAGGTGGCGGGCACCTGTAGTCCCAGCTACTCGGGAGGCTGAGGCAGAATGGCGTAAACTCGGGAGCTGGAACTTGCAGCAAGCTGAGATCCGGCCACTGCACTCCAGCCTGGGCAACAGAGCGAGACTCCATCTCAAAAAAAAAAAAAAAAAAAAAAATCGCAAGGACCGGCCAGGCGTGCTGGCTCACGCCTGTGATTCCAGCACTCTAGGAGGCTGAGGTGGGTGTATCGCCTGAGGTCAGGAGTTCGAGACCAGCCTGACCAACATGGTGAAACCCTGTCTCTACTAAAAATACAAAAAATAGCTGGGTGTGGTGGCAGATGCCTGTAATCCCAGCTACTTGGGAGACTGAGGCAGCAGAATCGCTTGAACCTGTGGAGGTTGCAGTGAGCCGAGATCACACCATTGCACTTCAGCCTGGGCAATAAGAGTGAAACTCTGTCTCAAAAGAAAAAAAAAAAAAAAGATAGCAAGGACCCTATTACCCTGGATCATCCCTGAATAACTATGTGGAACAGAGCCTCCTTTTGCCCCTGCTGATTGGTCTTTATATAAGCAGTAATATCTACTGTCTTAAGCATTGATAATTTGGAGTTTATCTGTTTCAGCAGCTAGAATTATTCTAATTCACTATAAATCTAAAGTTGCCCTTCTTCCCTTATCACCCTCCTTGAGGACCCTCTGTGTCCTTTATAGTAATTCCAACAGTAAGTATTTTATTCACTTACAAGTTTGCTTTTTATATGACTCTAACTAGACTATAAGTTTATAAAGACTACGTGTGTCTTATTCACTGCTGTGTTCCCAGCTGTCTCACAATTGGGAATTTGGTTCACAATAGGTACTCAACATACATGTGTTAAAAACATAAATCAAGAGCCCTGACATATCAACTCTGCGAGGGAAAGGGAATCTTTCCTAGTCAAAGAATCAGATCATAAAGATGATTAATAGTTAACTCTAAGGGCCTCAAGGACATTTATCTTACAAGCCCTGGCTCTTGTGGGGGCAGGTGGGGGTGGGGAGGAAGTTCCCCACATCTAAGCCATGATATAATCAGAAGACTCAGGCCGGGCATGCTGGCTCATGCCTGTAATCCCAGCACTTTGGGAGGCCGAGGTGGGTGGATCACGAAGTCAGGAGTTCAAGACCAGCCTGACCAATATAGCGAAACCCCGTCTCTACTAAAACTACAAAAATTAGCTGGGCGTGGTGGTGTGCGCCTGTAGTCCCAGCTACTCAGGAGGCTGAGGCAGGAGAATGGCTTCAACCCAGGAGGCAGAGGTTGCAGTGAGCCAAGATCGCCCACTGCACTCCAGCCTGGGTGACAGAGCGAGACTCTTATCTCAAAAAAAAAAAAAAAAAAAAAAAAGACCCAGAGCAGTTCCAGACATTGGGCAAGTTCACGTAAGTTGCCTAAACCCTTTTCAAGTGGCTATGCAACTGCTGAGATGCTGAACCTTCTTGGCTAGCTTTGCGAGCCAAGAAGTAGATCTTAATGAGAGTACAGAGAACCTCAAAAGTTGCCTGACCCCCTTAGCCCATAATCCTAAAAAAGCAGCCCTCTTCAGTACTATGAGGCCAAAAGTAAGAGTGAATTCAACACTCAGTATGCAATTGTCCTGAGTTGCCCAGATGTCTGTAGCAAAGAAGTACTAGACTTCCAAGTGTCCCCTGTCTCTGGATTTCCCACTGTCTCTGGATTTCCCACAGCTGTACTCGTCTGTCTGCCAGGATAACCTGCAATCCAGTTTCAGGCTTCCAGATGCTGTCTGCACTCTGGACTACCAAACAGCTGTGGGTTAGGTACAGCTTGTGAACTTCTTGGCCTCCTTATCTTTGCACTGTATCATCAAAGGTAACTAAAAATTTTTCTTACTTCTTAACTTCCCAGAATATGGCTCTTCCACTACCTCTCTTCTCCAGCATTTCACTGAAATCTCTCTTGCTACCATCAACAAACTCTAATTACCACATGCAATGCACACTTTTCAGTCCTCATTTTACCAAACATCTCTAGAGCAGCTGATATGGATGACCATCCCGTGTCTCATAACTTTCTCCTCCATTGACTTTTGGTATATTAAACTCACTTGATTCTCCTCATTTATCACAGTCAGCCCCTTCTCAATCTTTGCAGATGGCTAATTCCCTTCCCTTCCCTTAAATGTTAAGAACCATTGGAACTCTATCCTCAAATCACTGAGGAAGCCCATCACTCACATGGCGCCAGAGACAACCTGTGTGCTGAAGATTTCCAAATCAGTCTCTAGACACAGCTCATCTTTGGAGCTCCAAGCTGCATGTCAAGTGGCCTCCTAATGTAACTCACACTTAATATGGTGTAGGGGTCAAGAGTATAGGCTCAAAAGGACACAACATCACTTATGTAGTATTTCTGCCAAAATGTATGACCTGAATATAATCATGAAGAAACAAACTCAAATTAAGGGATATTCCACAAAACAATAAGTCTATATTCTTTTAAAAATGTCAATGTTGGTCGGGCACAGTGGCTCACGCCTGTAATCCCAGCACTTTGGGAGGCCAAGGCGGGCAGATTACGAGGTCAGGAGATCAAGACCATCCTGGCCAACATGATGAAACCCCGTCTCTACTAAAAATACAAAAATCAGCCAGGCGTGCTGGCGTGCGCCTGTAGTCCCAGTTACTCAGGAAGCTGAGACAGAAGAATCCCTCAAACCCGGGAGAGGGAGGTTGCAGTGAGCCGAGATCGTGCCACTGCACTCCAGCCTGGGCGATAGAGCGAGACTCTGTCTCAAAAAAAAAAAAAAAAGAAAAAGTCAATGTCGTGAAAGACAAAGAAAGGCTGAGTTCCAGATTAAAGCACATAAAAGAAATAGGACAACTAAATTCAATGTGTGATTCAGAATTAGATCCTGGACTGGGGGAAAAAAGTGCTATTAGAATGAGGAACAGTAACAGGACAATCATCTGAATTTGAATATAAACTATATATATATAGATATATATAGATTTTTTGAGACTGAGTTTTGCTCTTGTCACCCAGGCTGGAGTGCAGTGGCATGATCTTGGCTCACTGCAACCTCCGCCTCCCGGGTTCAAGTGATTCTCGTGCCATAGTCTCCCAAGTAGCTGGAACTAGAAGCACACACCACCATGCCTGGCTAATTTTTGTATTTTTGTACAGACCGGGTTTCACCATGTTAGCCAGGCTGGTCTCAAACTCCTGACCTCAAGTGGTCCACCCACCTTGGCCTCCCAAAGTGCTGGGATTGCAGGCATGAGCCACTGCACCCGGCTGAATATAAACTACATATTAAATAACAGTATTCTGTCAATGTTAAATTTTCTGAATTTGATAAGTACACTGAGGTTAGATAAAATGATGCCCTCATTCTTAGGAGATACACACTTAAATATTTAGGAATGAAGGAAATAATCTTTGTGACTTACTCCCAAATAGTTCAGCAAGAACAAAAGCAAAAAAAGAATAATAAAGAGCAATAAAGAATAATAAAGGGGGCCGGGCGCGGTGGCTCAAGCCTGTAATCCCAGCACTTTGGGAGGCCGAGGCGGGCGGATCACAAGGTCAGGAGATTGAGACCACAGTGAAACCCCGTCTCTACTAAAAATACAAAACATTAGCTGGGCGCGGTGGCGGGCGCCTGTAGTCCTAGCTACTCAGGAGGCTGAGGCAGGAGAATGGTGTGAACCCAGGAGGCGGAGCTTGCAGTGAGCCGAGATCGCGCCACTGCACTCCAGCCTGGGCAACAGCGTGAGACTCCGTCTCAAAAAAAAAAAAAATAATAATAATAATAATAATAAAGGGAAAATGCTGATAACGGGCGAATCTAGATGAGGGAAGTTGATCGTAATATTCTTGCAACTATTCCATAGATCTGATTTTTTTTACCAATAAAAGACTTAAAAAGAGAAAGTAGGTTTAGAGTTCAAATCCCAGCTACATCACTTGCTAACTATATAGCCTTGGGAAATTATATACCACCACTGACTCAGTTTCCCCAGCTATAAACTGGGGATAATAATAGTACCTACATCATAAGGTATAAGGTTTTTGCAAGGATTAAAAAAATTGACAAACGTAAAGGGCTTTGAACACTGCCCAGTATACAGTAAACATTTCTTTTTTTTTTTTTTTTTTTTTTTGAGACGGAGTCTCGCTCTGTCGCCCAGGCTGGAGTGCAGTGGCCGGATCTCAGCTCACTGCAAGCTCCGCCTCCTGAGTTCACGCCATTCTCCCGCCTCAGCCTCCCGAGTAGCTGGGACCACAGGCACCTGCCACCTTGCCGGCTAATTTTTTGTATTTTTTAGTAGGGACGGGGTTTCACCGTGTTAGCCAGCATGGTCTCGATCTCCTGACCTCGTGATCCGCCCATCTTGGCCTCCCAAAGTGCTGGGATTACAGGCTTGAGCCACCGCGCCCGGCCAACATTTCAATATATGTTAGTCAGTGTTTCAGTGTTATGTCTAAAATTGAACTCATTTCTTCTTCAACTTAGACTGTCTCTTATATTCTTTTTTTTTTTGAGACAGAGTCTTACTCTGTTGCCCAGGCTGGAGTGCAGTGGCACGAACTCAGCTCACTGCAACCTCCACCCCCCTGGGTTCAAGCACTCCTCCTGCCTCAGCCTTCCAAGTAGCTGGGACTACAGGTGTGCACGACCACGCCGGGTTAACTTTTGTATTTTCAGTAGAGACGGGGTTTCACCATGTTGCCTGGGCTGAGCTCAAACTCCTGAACTCAGGTAATCCGCCAGCCTCGGCCTCCCAAAGTGCTGGGATTACAAGCATGAGCCACCATACCCAGCCTGTCTCTTATATTCTTGAACACGGTTTATAGCATCCCAATCCACTAAGTCTTCTAAGCTAGAAAGTTTACTCCATCCTTCTGTGTGTCCCCAACACTTTGTCCATGCCTTTATTACAGCATATTCTATGAGACACAATAGTGGATCTGCATATGTCTGTCTCTACTAGAGCATGTTTGTCTCAACTAGATTGAAGTTGGGGGTGGGTGGCAGGGAGAAAAGGAAGAGCATTCCAGACACAAAAAATAGCATGAAAGTTCAGAGATGAGAGAAAATAAAGCACAAAGAAGTCCAGTTTGATTGGAATATAAAAGGTAAGAGAGTGAGGGGCATGAAGTGAGACTAGACTAAATAAAAATATATAATAGCAGGGCACGGTGGCTCACACTTGTAATCCCAACACTTTGGGAGGCCAAGGCAGGTGGATCACCTGAGGTCAGGAGTTCAAGACCAGCCTGGCCAACATGGTGAAACCCCACCTCTACTAAAAATATAAAAATTAGCTGGGCGTGGTGTCAGACACCTGTAATCCCAGCTACTCAGGAGGCTGAGGCAGGAGAATCGCTTGAACCCAGGAGGCAGAGGTTGCAGTGAGCCAAGATCGCGCCATTGCACTCCAGCCTGGGTGACAAAGCAAGATTCTGTCTTCAAAAAAAAAAGAGAGATATATATATATATATATATATATATATATGTGATTTTTAAAAATTATATTTAGTCAAAGTTTGAAAGAGTTCTGTGGTACATCCATTAGATCAGTGCTGTAAGTCTTGACAGTACCTCTACCCCCTCTCATGTAAGATGGGGACTAAACCTGAGAAAAGCAAAGGCAAGTCCGGAGAGAAGAAAAAAATTAAAAGCCACACCAAAGGAAGAATAACTAAGGGCTCCCTGACCCAAGGAAGAGACGCTCAGTGGATATCTGAGGTCAGTGTTTAAATGGACAAAAGACTATCAGGTATAATTAGTCACTTGGGTGTGTGGCTGTAAGCTCCCACTAGATTGCAAGGTCCTTCAGGACAGGAAGGGACCGAATAATCTTTGTGTTCCTACCCTGTAACATGGTACTTGACAATTGTAGGTAGGCCCAGGAAATGCCTGCTGAATATGTATGCAAATACCAACTGCCTGGCCACAGAGGCCAGCAAATCTTGGCTTAGTAGAAGTCCTGCTTTAATTCCACAAGCCTTAAAACCCCCAAAGTGGGCTGGGCGTGGTGGCTCATACCTGTAACTCCAGCACCTTGGGAGGCTGAGGCAGAAGGATCATTTGAGTTCAGGAGTTTGAGACCAGCCTGGGCAACATGGTGAAACCCCGACTTACAAAAAATACAAAAATCCCTGTCTCAAAAACAACAAAACAGCAACAACAAAAACAAAAAACCCAAACAAACAAAAAACCCAAAGTGCTTAATATCTTTATCCACATCACTTACCAGAAGAGGCAGCTTTCACCATCAACTGGGCAAATTCAATGGCACCTCCATTTCTGAAGACTAATTTAAAAGTAGCTTGTCCTTCCCAGCCACCTGGGGGAAGAAATGGCACACACTCACTAAGAAACTGGCATAGCTGACAACAGAAAGACTGCCACAAACACCAAGGGAAACACTACCTGACAAAGCAGAGCAGCTTTTGTTTGAATTTCTTTTTTTTTTTTTTTTTTTGAGACAGAGTCTCGCTGTGTCTCCCAGGCTGGAGTGCAGTGGCTGGATCTCGGCTCACTGCAAGCTCCGCCTCCCGGGTTCACGCCATTCTCCCGCCTCAGCCTCCCAAGTAGCTGGGACTACAGGCGCCCGCCACCATGCCTGCTAGTTTTTTTTTTTTTTTTTTTTTGTATTTTTAGTAGAGACGGGGTTTCACCATGTTAGCCAGAATAGTCTCGATCTCCTGACCTCGTGATCCACCCGCCTCGGCCTCCCAAAGTGCTGGGATTACAGGCTTGAGCCACCGCGCCCGGCCTTGAATTTCAACATGGCAAGTTTGAATCTTAAACTTTCTAGAAGATTTTAAGGGAAAACAAATACACACTTCTGAGGGAACACTTACCATATGGAGCTGCCTGAATAGTTCCCTTAATGAAGTTTGCAGCAAATACTGGTTGTTCAACGGTGAGGTTCGTTATCAGATCAAATGGCATCATAAAAGACAGCATGGGATCATTGATGGAGTGCGAAGTTATGAAAATCACCTATGCAAGGACAGAAACTTTGGAAAAGGAATGCAAAATTCGTCCATGGATTGAGACTTACAAGAGCAAGGTGCATTCTGGTCTGACTGAGAAACATCATATTTTCTTCCATCACCCTTCAATGTGGAAAATCCCAAAGTGCACATGTTTAAAAACACTTCAAAAGTCAATGTTTAACTTTTCTTCATTTTAAGGAAAACAAATGTAGAGTTAATCAGCAAATTAAAGCAGAAGTAGAAATTACCCGGTATGAAGTGAGAAACAATGTTCCTGTCTTTGTACCACTAAAGACATTGGAGCCTTCTGATTGCCGTGGGAAGGAGAGCTCCACATTCAGAGACTGCTTCAAGAGACTGTAGAAAACGAGGAACAGACAGCATACAATAAAGAATGTATATAAAATGACACACATAAAGTTCTTAACGCAGTTTTTTTCCCCAGAGTAAGCACTCAATAAACATTAGCTGCTGCTACTGCTATTATTACTAATACTACTATTTTATTGAAATAAAAAGGAATTCAAATGATCTTATTCTCTGACAGTTTACTCTTATTCTTCTCCCTCTTCATCACTGGATTCTTTTTCTTGTCAAATCTACTCCTACTCTCAATGTGTGTTCATTAATTCTTATACTTCTTGTGTGGTAAGCGTAAAGCACTGTGCTAATAGAAATGGTTCTTTGACGCTGGTAAAGGTAAGGCAGCAGACTGCCCCAGCCCCCTCTGACATGTCCCCTCAGCCTGTCGTGCTCTCTCCTTACTGTTAACCTGGAAAACTTGGACTCACCTTATTGTCACTCATCAAATCCTGCTGGGTTCTATTTTTTCCTTTCTTATCTTTCTTTCTTTCCTTTTTTTCTTTCCTTTATTTCTTTCTTTCTCTCTTTTTATTTCTTCTCTCTTTCTCCCTCCCTCCCTCACTTCTTTCTTTTCTTTCTTTCTTTTCCTTTTCTTTTCGCCTCGGCCTCCTAAAGTGCTGGGATTGCTGGGATTACAGGTGTGAGCCACTGCACCCAGCTCTCTTTCTTCTTTCTGTCTGTCTGGTTTTTTTTGAGACCGGGTCTCACTCCATTGCCCAGGCTGGAGTGCAGTGGCATAATCTCCACTCACCACCCTCCGCCTCCTGGGCTCAGGTGATCCTCCCACTCAGCCTCCCGAGTAGCTGGGACCATAGGCAAGCACCACCACGCCTGGCTAATTTTTTTTTTTTTTTTTTTTGAGAGAAGTCTCGCTCTTGTCCCCCAGGTTTGAGTGCAATGGCTCAATCTCAGCTCACTGCAACCTTCACCTCCCAGGTTGAAATGATTCTCCTGCCTCTGCCTCCCAAGTAGCTGGGATTAAGTCACCTGCCACCACGCCAGGCTAATTTTTGTATTTTTTGGTAGAGACAGGGTTTCTCTCTCTATATATATGAAGATATATATATATCTCTCTCTCCAATGTATACCTTAATGATCATTAAGTACAATGTCTGCCTTCTTTGCTACTCTAGCCCTAGCAAACAGTGGGTGCTCTAAATAGTTATTGAAAGAATGAATGAAAACATGAATATAGATCATAATGCAAACAATATATGACATAATATAAATGTATGTCATACATTTATTGGTAACAAAATGTCATAGCAATTTAGTGGAAGAAGAGATTAGTTTTAGTTGAAGTAATTAGGAATGACCTAATAGAAAGACTGCAATTTGAGCTGATTAAGAGATGGGTAGCATTCTGGCTGGGCACAGTGGCTCACACCTATAATCCCAACGCTTTGGGAGACCGAGGCTGGCGGATCATTTGGGGAGTTTGAGACCAGCTTGATGGGGTTTAGTGAAACCCCATCTCTACTAAAACACAAAAATTATCCAGTCATGGTGGTACATGCCTGTAATCTCAGCTACTCGGGAGGCTGAAGTGGGAAGATTGCTTGAGCCATAGGGCAGAGATTGCAGTGATCCACTGCACTCCACCCTGGGCAACAAAATATGATCCTGTTTCAAAAAAAGGGAGAGAGAGAGATACGGATAGTGTTCAGTAGGCAAAGGTGACGGTAGAGAACAATCCAGATGGGAAGCAAACAACATTCATGGAGGTGTAGGAGCAGATATGGAAAGCAAACTGCATACTTGGGAGAAGCCTAGTGGTATGGCTTCATCAAAACATAGTGTGGAAGTGAGGTTAGGAGAAACAGTGAAATAAAGTTGGAAAGTTATGCTGGAACTACAGCTTAAAGACATCGTTTGATAGGCAAGGAGAAACTGTGAGCTTTAGATTTCTCAACAGGAAAGTCACATAATCAAGAAGGTACTGTATCAGAGGGATCAGTTTAAGAATTCCTAAAATAGTTCTGATGCAAGGTAAAAACTGGAACTAGGGTGGTAATGTGCAGATTAAAAGGGGAGGATTTTTAAAAGACTATGAAAATATAGGACATTAGCAAAAAACAGTGGAATGGGAACCTTTAAATGTCAGTCTAGCCATAAAAGCAATAAATAAAGCAAAAGAAAACCTGTCAGAATCAACTTTTTCAGAACTCTAGAATCTAATCAAAAGCTTATAGCAACTAGGCGAATGCTTAAACAATTTAAGAAAAAAAGCTGAATCTCAGTAAGTAAGCTTTATGACATTTTAACCTACCCTGGTATCATCCCCCACTACTAGCTTGGCAGCAGCTTTGAAGACAACAATCTGTATTGCCATGATAGATACCGAGTACTGGAGGGAGCAGAACACACTTATTTTAAAAAATTGTAGTTTGACTTGTCTGGTGGCTCCTTGAAGGACTGGCTCAAAGGGCATGTAGTTAATTTGTAATTTTCCCAGGATGGATGAGGCTGCCAGGGGGCATTTGTCAAAAACATTTCTGGCTGGGTCACGCCTGTAATCCCAGCACTTTGGGAGGCTGAGGCGGGTGGATCACCAGAGGTTGGGAGTTCGAGACCAGCCTGACCAACATGGAGAAACCACATCTCTATTAAAAATGCAAAATTAGGCCGGGCGCGGTGGCTCAAGCCTGTAATCCCAGCACTTTGGGAGGCCGAGACGGGCGGATCACGAGGTCAGGAGATCGAGACCATCCTGGCTAATATGGTGAAACCCCGTCTCTACTAAAAATACAAAAAACTAGCCGGGCGAGGTGGTGGGCGCCTGTAGTCCCAGCTACTCGGGAGGCTGAGGCAGGAGAATGGCGTAAACCCGGGAGGCGGAGCTTGCAGTGAGCTGAGATCCGGCCACTGCACTCCAGCCTGGGCGACAAAGCGAGACTCCGTCTCAAAAAAAAAAAAAGCAAAATTAACTGGGCCTGGTGGCATGCGTCTGTAATCCCAGCTACTTGGGAGACTGAGGCAGGAGAATTGCTTGAACCTGGGAGGCAGAGGTTGTGGTGAGCCAAGATCTCGCCATTTCACTCCAGCAACAAGAGCAAAACTCCATCTCAAGAAAAAAAAAAGAAAAAAATTCCAAGTCAATGTATTAGTTGCTGCTACCTAGCAAAAGGGATGACAGCTGGGGCAAAAAAAAAAAAAAAAATAGACAAATTGAAAAGCTAGAGGAAAGGATGAGCAATGAAATGCTTTGAGAAATAAAGGTAAAAGCTCACACATATTCCTGAGAAACAAGAAAGCCACACACATACATGTCCAGGGCTAGATTCATACTAAAAACAAAAAATGAAACACACACACACACACACACACACACACACAGAAGAGGCACTAAGCTTTCACCTCTGATTAACAATTAGAAGTGATGCAAAAAGGCCTCGGTGCGGTGGCTCACGCCTGTAATCCAGCACTTTGGGAGGCTGAGGCAGGCAGATCACCTGAGGTCAGGAGTTCAAGACCAGCCTGGCCAACATGGCGAAATCCCATCTCTATTAAACATATAAAAATTAGCTGGGCGTAGTGGGGGGCACCTATAATCCCAGCTACTCAGGAGGCTGAGGCAAGAGAACTGCTTGAACCCAGGAGGCAGAGGTTGCAGTGAGCCAAGATCATGCTACTACACTGCAGCCTGGGCAACAGAGCAAGACTCTGTCTCAAAAAAAAAAAAAAAAGGAAATGATGCAAAAAAAGTGAAGGTGAAGGCAGAGTTGTAAACTGCCTGGTTTAGTGAGAAAGGCACATTCATGCTCTAACACACACACAGTCCATCTGTAAGGGCTGGGAGATTTTGTTGTTGTTCCAGACATAGAAGAAAATTTCTGTCAAATCACTAGCTGGCCACTGAGGTAACAGAACTGAGACTCCAGTGGCCACAAATAACAAATAATACAGAAAAGTCACTGTACAAATAAATATCAACTACAACAAGCAACAAAAATAAACCCTGAAGAAGAGGGGGATTCTACTTTCCAGAGTTACTACATTAAAATATTCAAAATGTCCAGTTTTCAACAACGAAAATCACTAGGCATGCAAAGGAACAAGAAAGTATAGCAATACACAGGAACAAAAGAAATTAATAAAACTGTCCCTGAGGAAGCCCATACATTGGATTTATCAGACAACACTTTAAATAAACTATTGTAAATATACTGAAAGAGTTAAAGGAAACCATGTCCAAATAACTAAAAGAAAGAATACGAACAAAGTCTCAGGAAGTAGAGAACATCAATAAAGAGGCAGAAATTATTAAAAGGAACCAAATAGAAATTCTAGAGTTGAAGACTACAACTGAAATGAACAATTTAATCACTGGGGCTCAATAGCCGATTTTGGCAGGCAGAAGAGAGAATTATTTAACTTGAAGTAGATCAATGGGAATAACGGTTACTACCTGAGTAACACAAATGGGAAAAAAGGAAGAAAAATGAACGGAGTTTAAGAGACCTGTGGGACACCATCAAACACACCAATATACCTACAATGGGAATTCAAGAAGGAGAGGAGAGAGAGAAAGGGGAATAAAGAATATTTGGGGCCAAGCACGGTGGCTCATGCCTGTAATCCTAGCACTTTGGGAGGTCACAGTGGGCAGAATGCGTGAGCACAGGTGTTCAACACCAGCAAGGGCAACATAGTGAAACCCTGTCTCTACAAAGAATACAAAAAATTAGCCAAGCATGGTGGAGTGCACCTATAGTCCCAACTACCCAAGACACCGAGGTGGGAGGATTGCTTCAGCCTGGAAGGTCAAGGCTGTAGTGAGCCATGATTGCACCACTCCAGTCTGGGATTGCACTCCAGTCTGGGCGACAGAGTGAGACCCTGTCTCAAAATAAGAAAAAAGAATATCTGGGCCGGAAACAGTGACTCATGCCTATAATCCCAGCAGTTTGGGAGGCTGAGGCGGGAGGATTGCTTGAGCTCAGGAGTTTGAAACCAGCTTGGGCAACATAGTGAAACCTCACCTCTACTAAAAA